ATTATATGATTCATAAAAATATTGAAACACGTACATCTTTTTGAGTACCTAAAAATGAAGAAAAGTAATTTTTTTAAACACACACGCGTATAATTTGATAAAGATTTTATTGAAAATACAAATGAGAATGCCTGTCCAATTGGATAAACGACAAATAGATGTCCCTTAATAAGGGACATTGTGACGGGCTCACGCGTCTTTTCATTAACATGTATATCCTTTGGGGCCAGAATTAATGGCAACTTTTTTCCAACCAAATCCAAGAAGTGAAGTGTGAAGGAAAGATGCAAATTAGGAAGCTTTTAAATATCAGAAGTTTGAGTAAGATAGGTGGTAATTTGAGGAATGTTATGATAATCCGTGATTCAAGCGTGAAGAGGTTTGGGAAAGGTTAAGTGACAGCCAACAGAAGTTATACGTGATAGAGAGCCCTTGGGTCAAGGAGCATACCATAGCACTCCAGTAAATCCGCAACTTCCAGTAGGATTAGATTGATCGCTTCTTCATTCTACATTAAGGTAGGAGTGACTATTTAATATTCGAATCTGTGATAGTCTAGGAATTGAGCGTAGGCGAGTTAGTATTGATAGTGGTCTGGGTTACGCTGTTTCGGTATTATATATGTTGTGTGTCTTGCCACCGTAGAGATTCTCTCACATATATTATTATTATCTAATTTGTTAGAAGTTTAAGTTAAGATCTTAATAAATCAAATTAAGATCATGGCAGCTTCTAGTTCTTCCTTTATCCTTACACCTCTAGCTCACGCTGATAATCAAATAGAAGGGCACCCGAGAGGGGCACCCTTACAATATGATCTCGCTTTAGATCAGTGGATGAACGACAACACCTGTTTAAACTCATCATGAAGTTTTTAATTGGATACTCAGTTTTGGGGGGTAAGCATGCTGTTTCACTTAATTCAGAGAGTTCTTCCAGTGAATTCATATTTCTGTTATTTGGAATTCTACAGCTGACATTGGTACACACAAATCTGTTAACCAATTGCATATTAGACTGCGCTTTGCAGTATCCCCAGAAATCTCAGATTTTAGGTGGTACTGACCTCGATGTTATGAAGCACATCTCCTTTTGACATTGATTGAAGCTCACGCTCATCCGTGTTTTATTTCGCTTTCTGACGTTTGTAAAGGGTGTTTTTTATAGAGGTATAGAACTCTAAATTGCAATAAAAAACAACGATGTATTATTCGATTGACATGAATTTTTTTTATTCAAAAGATAATCTTGTGGCATTAGATTTTAAATATGATTTCTGGCATAGGACTGCCACGGCTGGTTCGGATGTAGTCCAACCTGGACGTCCAATATTCGATGACTTTTTCCAACATTTGTGGCCGTATATCGGCAATAACACGGCGAATGTTGTCTTCCAAATGGTCAAGCGTTTGTGGCTTATCCGCATAGACCAATGACTTTACATAGCCCCACAGAAAATAGTCTAGCGGTGTTAAATCACAAGATCTTGGAGGCCAATTCACAGGTCCAAAACGTGAAATTAGGCGGTCACCTAACGTGTCTTTCAATAAATCGATTGTGGCAGGAGCTGTGTGACATGTGGCGCCGTCTTGTTGGAACCACAGCTCCCGGACATCATGATTGTTCAATTCAGGAATGAAAAAGTTAGTAATCATGGCTCTATACCGATCACCATTGACTGTAACGTTGTGGCCTTCATCGTTTTGAAGAAGGATTCCACCAGCCCATAAAGCGCACCAAACAGTCAGTTTTTCTGGATGTAACGGTGTTTCACTTGTGCATTAGCTTCACTCGAAATGCGGCAATTTTGTTTGTTGACGTAACCATTCAACCAGAAGTGCGCTTCATCGCTAAACAAAATTCGCTTATGAAAATCGGGAACAACGGCAATCTCGTTTTGGGCCCATTCGACGAATCTACGCCTTGCTTGATGATCGTTTTGATGAATTGCCAAACCAAACTGAGAATAAATCACTTGACAGCTGTTAAATCGGTCGCCATCTTGGAAAGTAATGCCAACTTAAACTTCTATACCTGGAAAAAAACACTCTTTATAACTATTTTTGTTGTGTACTTTTACTTTTTCTTGTCAATATGGCATCATCGCTAGACTTCATTAAAAGTGATACCGAATGAGAATATTTCCTGGAAAAAGATGAATACGATAGTCACTCTAATACGGACTTATCTGTGACGAAGAAGATGAAGAAATGGAACAAAAATCACAATACACTTACGTAAAGCACGTGGAAAAGCTTTTTGTTCCAAGGAACATTTCGAGCAATGTCGCAAAGAATTTTAATTTTCTTATTTTTCAAATTTTTGTAACCCGGACATTTTGTAACTTGACTTTTGCAATTTTATACAACCCCTATGAAAGAAAATCTACCTTATAATGTTTCCTGTTCTAGTTAAACTCGCTGTACACCTAAATAAACCATGTATCCCAATGAGGTTACTATGGGATTCTGTCCTATACATAGCATGTATTTCCTAGTGGTTACATGGTACGCAAGGTGTTAAAGGCAACTCGTTCACTTTATATGAAATTAAGAACATAAATAAGAAATCCTGTCAATCTATTAAAATGATATAAAGAGCGTTTTTTTCCAGGAATAGAAGTTTAAGTTGGCATTACTTTCCAAGATGGCGACCGATTTAACAGCTGTCAAGTGATTTATTCTCAGTTTGGTTTGGCAATTCATCAAAATGATCATCAAGCAAGGCGTAGATTCGTCGAATGGGCCCAAAACGAGATTGTCGTTGTTCCCGATTTTCATCAAGCGAATTTTCTTTAGCGATGAAGCGCACTTCTGGTTGAATGGCTACGTCAACAAACAAAACTGCCGCATTTACAGTGAAGCTAATCCACAAGTGTATGTCGAAACACCCTTACATCCAGAAAAACTGACTGTTTGGTGCGCTTTATGGGCTGGTGGAATCCTTCTTCAAAAACGATGAAGGCCACAACGTTACAGTCAATGGTGATCGGTATAGAGCCATGATTACTAACTTTTTCATTCCTGAATTGAACAATCATGATGTCCAGGAGCTGTGGTTTCAACAAGACGGCGCCACATGTCACACAGCTCGTGCCACAATCGATTTATTGAAAGACACGTTTGGTGAACGCCTAATTTCACGTTTTGGACCTGTGAATTGGCCTCCAAGATCTTGTGATTTAACACCACTAGACTATTTTCTGTGGGGCTATGTAAAGTCATTGGTCTATGCGGATAAGCCACAAACGCTTGACCATTTGGAAGACAACATTCGCCGTGTTATTGCCGATATACGGCCACAAATGTTGGAAAAAGTCATCGAATATTGGACGTCCAGGTTGGACTACATCCGAACCAGCCGTGGCAGTCCTATGCCAGAAATCATATTTAAAATGTAATGCCACAAGATTATCTTTTGAATAAAAAAATTCATGTCAATCGAATAATACATCGTTGTTTTTTATTGCAATTTAAAGTTCTATACCTCTAAAAAAAAACTCCCTTTACTTGTGTTTATTTGAATTAGCTTCTACACAATTGTGACCCTGTCTTACACAATTCTATCATTAAAAACAGTGACACCAACGAAACTTCAGAATAGAACAAAAGGATCGTTCGTTGTAAAAAGTGATTTTTGTTTATAATATGTTCTTTGAAAATATGGAGATGAGTGTTGTTGTCCACCATAACGTTCTTTAAAAAGAAATTAGGATCTGTACCAGTCTCTCTCCCTGACGTTTTTAGGCTAAATTCATATCTGAACTTCTCTCCATATTAACTGGAGTCTTAGAGCCTAATTTAATTCTGAAAAGTGTTTTTGACAATAAATCACTTTTAACACTTTTGTTATGGTTACATTTTACAACCTCTGACAATAAAATTCGGTGAACGAAGTTAGAGCGGCCGATCTGGCAACACTGACGAAACAAAACGTACATGCACTGCAAAGGTTGGCCATCTGCCCCCACCCTTGCTAAGTTGAGACTCATTTGTGTTCCTTGTAAGACTTATTTTACAAAGTACTTGTTTAGTACGTTGGTTCTTAACTGAGAACAGGAAAATGAACGAACAAAAGATCAATTTAAATAAAATAACAATTGAAGTTCTTTGCTCCATAAATTATTCGTGCCTTAGTTATTAAAAATATTCTTTAACTGATTTTAAGTTTGTTTATGCAACTTGAAATTCTTTATATATGTAGTTTTTAACAAAGAATTCAATTTAAATAAAAAACAGAAGACTTAAGGTATTGTGTTTGGAGTATAACTTATCCTTATATTAATGTCTTAAAAGTAATAATTGTTTTGATTTATCCATATTATCAACCTTGTAATTATTATTGCTATTTGCTTCTTTTAAAACTCATTACACAATTTCTATGGTGCTTTTGTTATATAATGTGGTAGAAATATTTTAAAAATTCATTATTTATCTTGCATAAAAGAAATCTTGATGGGGAGGGGGACTATTCGGAAAGAAGAGGTTGTTACGGTAATCCTATTTTTAATGCATGTAAAAAAATGTTTATTTTAATAAAAAAACACCATTAAAAATATTTTTATGCATGAAAGCGCAGCGTAAAAAACGAATGTAATGGTTCAATAGCCTTCGAATCTGAAAATGTCAAAAAAAAATTCCTATCTAAATATTTAGCACTATAAAAATCGTAATTTGAACATGAAAAATAATCAGTAAAAAAATGAAAAATGTTTTTGAAATGTTTGAATGTTGTTGTTTGAATGTTTGCGATGAAATGATGTTTTGAAAATGAAGCAGTCATACAAGCATACACACATCTAATACAAAAAAAATGATGAAATTAAGACTGTAATGTTGCTTTCATAATCAACATTTTTTTTAAACTTGTAGTGGAGGGCACTTGATGTTGAGACAGTTTTTTAAACATTAATTCATTAATTTTATTTAATTAATGAATAAATAGAGAGACAAACAAAAATAAGTGCAACACTATATATGAAAAGGAAAATCGATCGCTGAGTCCCTGTAGAGCAATGGATATCACGTTGGACTTTGAATCCAACGGTCATGGGTTCAAATTCCACCTGGGATGGCCTAATTTCTGAGAATGTGGTTTTTTTTTACTATACTATTTTATTGGAATAATTAAATTTAATTTCTGAATAAATATTAACACAAAAAATAAGAGTCCAGCATCCTACATAGAAAAGAAAAATTAGAAAATTGCAAGGCAAATTGCTACTTAATATTGTGATTCTGTGATATGTATATACATGTTCATATTAATTGTAATTATTTAACAAAAAGTAACTAAAATAAAAATTTTCTTTGTTGACCTAAATAGGAATTGACTTAAAAATGGGTATTTTTTAATATATATTTCTTGTTAAAACTGAATTCTCTTTTAAGCACAAAATTATTTCCATAAGATTGTAAACATTTTGTTAACCTCGACAGCTTCTTCCTGTGGGGGTGTAAAATGAAAGGAAATAGGGGTTGAGAACTCCAAAGACTGATAAAATAACACTGAGCTCAAGCCATGTTGAATGGTCATTGGAGCTCTTAATCTCAGGAGAGGTCTTAATCTCTCTCACACATATATACAGTGGGTGATCGGTTAACGAACACAATCAGTTCCAAGACTATGTTCGCTATTCGAATTGTTCGTTAACCGATCATCGATTCGCCGCCATAGACTTCTATGTGAAATCGATTAATCCGTCCTGAAGACCCTAAAAATTAAATTTTAAAAAATGTATAATTTCTTAGTAAGTTTTTTAAAAAATAATACATACATATAGTCTTGCATATTAATCAGTCCTTTGCATTTTTTGCTTATGGGGCGTTGAAGAACATGTCCAATGTCGATTGCTTTTCTCTCATTTTCAGGATTTTCCGGAAGTAATTAATAGCATTGTCGTTGTAAAGATCCCCAACCCTACTGACATCAGCTTGGCTTGGGTGCCATTCTAAGACCATTGCTCTGACTGCCTCCCACTTTTTCAAAAGATCTTTAATGGCAGATGTCGGCATTGGTCCTCTTTCGTCTTCCTCTTATTCAGAAGGAGACACATTTCGTTGTTTCTTGGTGTTCTTCATTCAAAATTTCTTGGAGTTTTTCTCTATCGTCAGTTCATCTTCATGTCCTATTATGAGCTCTTCTATGTCATCCTCGTTCACCTCCAATTCCAGATCTCTAGCAGTTGTCAAAATTCCATCCATAATTTAAGGGGTGTCTCCCTGATCGCCTCCGAATATGTGTTCGTTGTCCAAACACAAAAAAAACTTTCGTGAAAGTGTTCGTTAACCGATCACCCACTGTACGCATTTATGTAAGAGGTTTTTCATCGTTACTTATTTTTACTCTATGTCAGCAAATGTAATTTTTTCTGCGGATAAAGGCTTTGATCTTAAAAACTTATAGCGAAAAGGGTTGTAAAATTCTTACTTTTATAAAATAACCAAAAATAATGGTATGTAGTTCGTAATCTCCTCTTATTCGCGCGTTTTATATATCTATTCAAAATAATTAAAGGATATTGCGGTTTTAGTTGGATCTTGTGCCTGGGAAACTTTTTAGCTGATTGATACATGGTCGACAGACGTAGTAGGTTATATGAGAATAAATTACACATGTTTGGCAGAAAAAAATTCATTTTATTGCGCATTTGTGTACAAAAAAAAAAAAAAACACAATTTGTGCATATGAGAAAAAAATAATAAGAAAAGGTGTTTTCTTCAAAGAAAATCATTTTCAGTAGGGGGTATGGTTTCCACGGACGGCCAGCAACGTTGAGCCCCTTTGAGTCATGGAGTCAATGAGGCTATTAATCACGAGTTGGGGTATTTTGTCCCACTCTTCCAGAAGAGCTCTTTCCAGTTCTTGGAGAGTTTGTGGGGGTGGTTGGTGGCCAGCAACCCGTCTTGTTAGAGCGTCCCAAACGTGCTCTATTGGATTCATGTCTGGAGAACACGCTGGCCATTCCATTCGTACGATTCCTTCCTCGAAAAGGAAATCCTCCACCAGGTTAGTACGATGTGGCCAGCAGTTATCGTCCATTAAAATGAAGTCATCTCCGATTGCGGCAGCGTAAGGGACTACAATAGGTCTGAGGATCTCATCCCTATATCGGCGAGCAGTCAGAGGTCCATCTCGAACGATGTAGAGGTTTGTGCGCCCGTCAATGGAGATGCCACCATACACCAACACTCCCCCACCGCCAAATCTGACACTTTCGTGCACGAACGCAGGATTATTCCTACTGGCACGGTCCCTCCAGATGAAAATGCGCCTATTATCTGGATGAACAGAAAAACGGGACTCGTCAGAAAAAAGAACATTGCTCCATTCATTTCTCCTCCAGTTCACATGCTCTGTTGCCCACTCCCTGCGGTCGCGACGATGCCTTGATGTTAGTCTAACAAATACCATGAGTCGGCGAGCATACAGACCTACACCATGGAGCCGATTTCGGACAGTCTGAGTTGAAACCGTGGTGCCAGTAGCCGAGCGAAGGTGTTGTTGGAGAAGAGTAGCGTTCATATTTTGGTGTCTCCGAGTCGTTAACACTAAATAACGATCTTCATTGGGCGTTGTTGCCCGTCTGCGACCTTGTCCTGGTCTTCGGCCTGCACTTCCAGTCTCCAAGAAACGGTTCCAGATCCTGGAAATCACACTTTGTGACACTCCAATAGCTTGCGCTACTTCGGCTTGAGTTTGGCCCCCTTCTAACTTACCAACAACTCTCCAAGCTTCTGAATCGGTTAAATGACTTCGCTGAGACATCGTACTCATCGAAACAAAGCAGTCACTGAATGCCGATCATCCTTGTCTTCATATCAGTTGAAAGTCAAATTTCATTCGCTGGTGCTGAAGCGACGTTTTTGACGTCGAACTCCAAATTAGCATACTCCACAGTTTGAAAATCAGAAAAACTTGCATTTGTGATTCTCTTCTTCCATTTTCGGCAAAAAAAAATTCGCTTATATCTTTATTTTATATAAAACTTACAATATCCTTTCATTGTTTTGAGCAGTGTACTATACAGCAGTACTTCTCAAACTTTCTATATTTGCGACCCAATATATTCGCTCATAATTTTCATCACCCCCCTCCATACACAAACAATGTGTTGAATTCAATTGTACTATACTTTGACGCTTAAGCTACAATACCACTTTAACCTCTTAAGTGCCATCGCCGTATATAAACGTCCCGTTCAGCCAAAGCATTAATTGCTTCGGTCGTATATATACGTCTTTCCGAAGTACGATCTTTTCTGTGCGCTGCAAGTCATAAAATTAGTTCGTAGGTTTTGGAATGCAATAAAATGACCTTGACAGTGTTTGAGAAGAGGATTTACTTATTTCAGAAGATTTGCATATTTCTTCCCCCCCTCCCATAAGCACGCCTACGTGGAAAACGGTGGCCTCGGGGAGTGATCCTTTAATCGGCAGTTAAGGGATTATTTATAAACCGTACAAATTATAAAGATAAGTGTTTATTTTTGTGTATAACTTTATATATGACAAGCCCATGGGGCAAATGGGAATTATTAAACTTGTTCTTATTTTAGCATTACTAAATTAATTATGAAATATAAATTGTGCAGCACTGATACATTTGTAAGTGCATTATATCAGTGTAAATGTATATTTATTTCTTATTATGTCAGAATGTATTTTGTTTGTTTACTTTCAGTCCATTAGCAATTTTTTAAATTATCTTTTGTTTTCGACTTTTCAATATACTCGCGCCCCACAGTTTGAGAAAAGCTGGCATACAGGAAACACTTTTTCCCTTTTAGATGACTTATGGTAAAAGCGAAATGCTCAAAATCTTATAAAATCTGGTCTCAGTTTCCATTATTCGAGGAAATAATTGAAAGACACACGAGACCTGAATCGGGTTATGATAGAGGCAGATATGTGGTAGAGATAAGAAGAGTTACTTACCAAAGCCTGCGAGCAGGAAATGGCAAATGGTAAAGTACTTTGTCATGATGGAGCAAAAATCGTTCGATTCATATGTTTGAGTTCATCCTTTAAAAATCGAACTGCTCCAAACAAAATGTTCAGCCTTTTCATCGTTAATATTGATTGATATCTAAGTATTCTTAATTTTTAATACGTTCAAAAACTATTAAGAAATTCGAACAAGAATTAAGAATCCTAATAAACTGACTTTTGAGCAATTGCACTCTCATTCCAAAATTTTGTAAAATATTCCATGTTTCTTTTATCTTCTTTTCAAGTTTTTTTTTAATTTCAAGGTGATTCTTAGCTCTTTTTTATTTCTATCAATGTCAAATAAAAGAAAAATTAATCCTTTGACCAGTTTACTGCACGTGATGTACTAAAATTTCGTGAAATTTATTATGTGATGGAAGAATAACGATTTAGATTCATAACCGACATATTGAACATGAGAAAAATTAGTTTTTAAGTGTTTTTGAGTCATTTTGCACAATATTTTTAGCAATCTTTGTACAAAGTCAAATTAACCACTTACATGTCTGACTGCGTGCTAATCTTAGATTTCTGAGGATACTAACAGTGAAGTTACGACACACACATTTCATTTTTTCAATTCCTACTATTAGCTCACACACTCCATATATTTATTTATTTATCTTGGGAATTTCCAATCGCTAATAAAATACATTTTAAAGCGCTCGATTGATCTGAAACTTTATATATATCATTATTTTGGATAACGATACAATAATTTAATCATTATTAATAAAAATTAATTGATTAAAACTAATTATTCAAATAATTACGAATACAGCCACATTGGCATCATTTTTGGCGACTTGTGTCAAAACTTGAAAAGTTTTTTTTCTCACGTTTTACAGCATTCAGTTGCACTGAAATTTTATGTACGGGATTATTTTGGATGACAGTACGAAACTTTAATGATAATTAATAAAAATTAATAACCATTTAGTGTTGTAATTCTGTCATATTTATATGCATATTTATATTAAGTGTAACTATTTAATAAAAAGTGGCTAAAATAAAACTTTTCTTTGTTGATCTAAGTAGGAATTGACTTAAAATTTTTTTATATATTACACTTGTTCTTTAGAC